CCTAACCTGTAATCTAGTTTTATAGCCTGTGGCAGCATCTATCTGTGAGACCTATTGTTTCTTGACCTTGCTCTGGATCACTCCCACATTCCTGCACACCGCCTTCCACAAAGTCTGCACAAACAACTCTCAAATCATGTGAGTCTGTAACTTTTATACTTATATTATTTTGAGGGCTCAGTATGCAATTAACTATTTAAGCGATCTAAAATTAATTACAGTCCCCATACCATTTGCTAGCACAGGTTTTGTAAATCAACATTTCTAGTCCTCACAGAAGCATGGGGCAGAAATTTCTCCACAACAATGTGAGAAGTCATACAGGAAACTATTACTAAAAGTCATTGGTGCTTAAGCTGTTTCTACAGGCTACTGAATCATGGGTTAGTTGTACTTCCCGTGAATCCTGTGAAAACAGTCTTTTTCATATGACTGTAGTCTTCTATTTTCGAGACTCAAACTTAATTGGAAAGTTGATCAACAAGCAGTTTCATGGCCAGGTACACCTTGTTCCCTTGTTATTTCTTGATAAATTAAACAGATTCTGTTGTTGATTCCAAGTGATGAAGTTGCATTTAGTAGCACTGAAATTCTCAGTATGAGGATTAAAGAGTTGGTGATGCAAGTGATGGAGGCCACTGTTGATTTAAAAAACCAAAATAAACCTACCAGAGAGAGAGAGCAAAACCTTTTGGAGTGGCCGAATCAACAGCCTGGTATTCTTACATTCCTTGGTAAGGAAAACCCTTCACAACATCTAGCAAAGTCAAGAACTTTCTTGAGGAGATAGGTGTACAATTATCATAATCAACAATCGAGATAGATCTTCACGAATGAAAAAGGTGCAAACCACTAGTTACACTCAGGACCTAAAGAGTATACTAATGAAGCAAATTCAACACAGCCACACTTGCTTTGTATAAGCTGGCTTAACAAAACCTAAACTCCAGTTGGAGAAAGGGGTATTACTACAAATTTCCCTGTTAAGCTGGGCCTTCTGCTTCAGAATCTTTGCACGCTGAAATAAAAACACTCTTCTTCTGGACAAAATGATCCCTGTGAGTGTACCCACTCTATTCAGAGTCATTATCAGATAATAATGATAAAAATCTATAAAGACCACAAAAATAAAACAAAAAAATAACAAAAATTGCAACACTTTTGAAAAAAAGGACGAGCTGCATGTTAACCTATTGATGATAGCTTACATGACTGCTGCACATTAGAGCTCTGACACTTTAACCTGGATACATTTAAACATTAAAGGTTACTGCCTCATAGCTTAATAACTAAGTCATGGAAATGACTCTGCCAGCTCAGAGTGAAATTAATTTTATTGATTGAATGGTCTGATCGATTTTTTTAGTAGTCCCAATTCAAGCAGTGTAAGACAGACTTGGCAGCAGATTAGAACCAAGTATAAAACCATCTATACATTTTCTGTGCCCCTAACTGAATTCATGCAAATTCCAGCTACAATGCAATGCACAGTTTGCACAGCTTGAACTTGAAAAGCTCATGTACAACTTGACAACTGCCTATATAAAATGTATTTTTCCAACATAGACTCTATACAGTGCTTCAAAACATGTGGTAAGTAAGTTACCACGGTGATTTAGCTAGCCACTTTTGTGACATAGCTTGCTAAAGCATTAATCTTGATTTATAGTACATCCTTTAGGAAACCCAGAATAGACGAGAATCTTCACTTCAACTTTCAGTTGAAATGAAGATTAAATTATGCACATTACTGTATAATATCCCAGGGCTTGTGTGTTTATAAACATTATGAGGTTAAAGTGCGTTCACAGCTACACTGACAATCGTACTCTTGTGATCTTCTTGTGCTTCCGATGCTTTTTAATGAACCATTTACAGAAAGCTCAAACGATATCCCAGACATGATTATGAAAAACGGCTCTAAAGGCTTTTATTGTCCACATCGGAAACTCTTACATCACTCTGCTCTCTTTAGCCAACCTATCAATATTTTTTTTTCCCTTCTGCTATTCATCATTTTGTGTTTCATTGAGTTTTTTAGACACATGATTGTATAACCACAGGCAACAGTGTTATTGAAATATGGTCACAAATAGACCCGGAATTGGACGATGGGCAGGAAAATGGGCAGGAAAATGACATGGTAGAAATGTCTCTCCTTTCTTATCCATCTTAACCTTCCTGTGAAAAATAAACATTCAAGACAGATATTAAGTGACATGTGCAATAATGGTCTTACTTACAAAAGTACTTTTATATCCATTTAATGGCGAATATCTGGATTTGGATTTGAACACTTGTATTACAATAGGAAACAGGTAACAGTACACCCATGTGAACTATTACTTACATGACTTCAAACAGGGGTTTTTGCCACTCAGCATATCTTTCATTACTCCAATTCTTTTTTCCCCCCCAATAATTTAATATGCCACAATGTTATAATTTAGACCCAGGTAGTACTTTTTGTCCTATGGAAAGTATTGTGATGTGTTTGGATTCTTATTTTGTTAGAAGATTCCTTTCCACCCGGGTTTTTTGTTTGTTTGGTTGTTTTTTAGTATCCACAGGTATTCATGATTCCATCTATATTTACAACTTCCCAACACCTTTTGGAATCCTGCATGTCAAGGACGTAGATTTGGTTTTGGCATTGGTGGAGACGAATGATTCAACCACCGAACCCTGCCCTGTTTCTTTTTTTTCCTTTTTGTTTTTGCTTCTTAATAAAAAAAGGAGAAATATACTTGTCTACATATGCTATTCTACATGCTTTTAAACCATTTAAAAATCTTAACTGGGATAAACTGCTGGCATATTTGTTTTACATCTATACTGTCCAGTCTCTCCTGGTGGACATGGCAACACGTTATTCATGGTTACATACAATTTTAGACTGATGTGGGCCAAAGCCTAGCACATACTTGCCAACCTTGAGCCCTCAGAATTAGGGAGACATTCAAACACACAAAACCTGAATTTTATTTATCGGATAAAATAAGTTAAATGTCACTGTTATTATTGGCCGGGGCCAGAAACAGGCTGGGCGTGTCCAAATTCAGAGGCTGCGTCCACCTGAGAACCAGGTGTTGTGTTGTGATTGCCTGCCAAAAACTGATTGCTTGTATTTAAACTGCTATAAATAACTTGTTGGTCTATAATATGTGAAACATATGTCAAATGTATCCCTCGTGAATGATATCAAGTCATCTTGAGCAACAAACAACATTCCTGTAACAAGGTAGAACCTGCAGTCAGTTTTTGGCAGTGACTTTTATGTATCCTTTATTTATGCAGTTAAAAAAAGTTCTTGTTTACTTTAAAAATGTCTCTCTTAAGAGTAATCTGGCCAAGAGGAGAGCTGAAATTGCAACAAATGCAAAAATAGTTCTGTAAACATATTTTAAGTGGACAAAAGGAAGGTGATTGATTATAATGTAGGTACAATAACACAGTTACAAAGATACTTGAGGAACAGGTAATTTTTTAAATTTTATATATAACCCCTTTGTAATACCTGTTCACAGAAGTCTATTTAACATCATATGACGTTACACATAAAAAACACACGGAAACATTGGAAATCAGTTTTTGGCACAACACCGGCTCAGATATTTGAAGTTTACACAGCTACATTCTCGCCTGAAAATATGTTAAAAGTTTATTTTGCGACCCAGAAAGAGTAATAAGAGTAATATTAAAGGTATGTAGCTGCAGTAGTAGTAGCCATTATTGGAAACTGGAATTGGCTGGGCCAATCTGGGATATGGTTTTTCAATTTTGTTGTCCGGGTGGAAAATCGGGAAAAATTTGGGAGAATGGTGGCTCCGGGAGATTTTCGGGAGGGGCACTGAAATTCGGGATTCTCCC